CTCACATCAGCAGGATGGATCCTCCTGACACAAGTCTATGTCAGCTGGACTGGAATATGGGCTCTGCAGAGACACAATGGACCCCTTCCCCCTCCTCCTCCTCCTCCTCCCCCTCCTCATGCCCACCTCCCTCCTGAGACACTGAGGCAGGAGTGAGCGAGAAGGAAGGAAGAAGAAAAAAAAGAATGAGGAACTAAATCACAATACATATGCTTGTACTTTCAGAGCTGCACGCCCCACTAGTATCTTCCTCTCTATCCGTTCCTGTCTTTCTCCCTTCTTCACTTCCTGCCGCTCTTCATTAGTCTCTGTCTTTTCTCTCTAGCTACAGCAAGGCAGTCACCCAGGAGGACATTATTAGCTGTCAGCATTAACAACCAGCGTAGCAGCAACAGCAGCAGCAGAGTTGGTTTCATAACAATGCTCACAGAGAGCCTCTTCTCTGCCCAGAGAGAGGAGCAGGCAGTCAGGACAGCCTGCTGCGTGCAGATGGTGCTTTGTCTCTGCTAGTTCCTACTAAAGTGACACGCAGACACAAACGCAGGCACACATGTACATGCACACATAGTTGGAAGAGGGTGCCACTATTCATTCCTAATCCTCTGTGGTTTGCATGAAAGTTAATGGCAGGTGTTTAAAGCTCTGCCTTTGCCAAGTGAAGGAAGGGGAGGTGAGTGGGAGAAGATCAACTCTCTTTTTGTCTATGCTGGCAAAGAAACATACACATGCTTTGAAAGAGAGTGTTTTACATCCCTATTAGATCTGAAAACTACGCCCCTTCATACACCCCCCCCCTCCCTCCCAACTCGATCTATCTCCGGCATAATATCCATGCATGCAGTTGAGAGCAATTAGGACTTCTTTAGAGGAAAATAGCCAGTCATTAAGGAGGAGCATGGACTCCAGTGTGATGGGTTATGCCAGGTGGGAGGCTATTAGACAGCCAAGTGGTGTGAGCAAACTCCCATGGTCATAAATACAGGGGACAGTAAACATTCTCCACTGCAGCCAACCACTTTTCTCCAATAATATAATGAGTTACTAATTTAGAGAAATGCACATGTATGCAGCCACAACATACTGTACCAACACTCACTATACTTAAAGGTGGGGTAGGTAAGTTTGAGAAACCGGCTCGAGATACACTTTTTGTTATATTCCATGGAATACTCTTAACATCCCGATAGCAATGAATATCTGAAGTGCTTTGACAAAAAATCCATAAAGAAATGTCATCTGTGGAAGCCGTAGCTCTGTAAAAAGCACGACCAATCATTTTAGCCGGCCCGGCTAAAGTAACTGGATGGCCTACCTGCCTGTCAGCCTTCCATATGTGCACAAACTTATCTCGTGCCCTCATTGGTCATGTGCCAATGGGCTCGTGTGTGTTGGAGGAGGGGCTCTGTAAGGAAGTAGCAGATTTCTTCCGGCTGTGTATTTTCAAATTCTAGCGCACTAGAGCTGTTCTCTACAAAATTACCTACCCCACCTTTAAAGGCTACAGTCATTTAAAATGTAACAGTGGATCTTCTTGCACAGGTGTCTTTTCGCAACCATTCATGTTGCTATTTATACCTGTGCTTTTCGTATTGTGACATGTCAACATGACTTTATGTACAAAAACCTAAACTTTTACATTATAAAACTGACAGTTAGTTATTGATTAGTTGAGCAATTAGTCAATGACCCAACAATTAATGGACTGCAATTTGTATAATCAAACATTTACTTGTTTCACAATGTCTTGTTTGCTGCTTTAATAGGTTGTATATTATTGTAAATTGAAGATATATTTAATAACAGGGCAGACAAAACCAGCAATTTGCAGACGTCACCCTAAGTGAAGTGATTTGTCAAAACATACAGGATCCAAAGATGTGTGTTCTTCAATAACACATCAATGTCTTTTTTGAACTCAAAGAGAAAATTCTTCAAAGATATAAGATCTTAAAGAATTAAGATCAAAGCTTAAACGTAATTTTCTCCCCAAGCTGCAACACTGAATAAGCCTCCAAGCCATTTAGCACCAACATTGATGCAGTGTTGGTCAGATATAACAATCCAAATCTAATAAAAGCAAATCTATCAGTTTATCACTTTGGATTTAGTATTTAACATTTGGCATCAAAGTGCAGGTACAATTGGGTAGTTTTATGTTAGATTGTCTGAATTAAAAACCTTAATGCTTTCAAATGCAACACTGGGCTGTAATTTACTGGCTTTCTAGCCACTGAAGCAGCTGAACGGGGAATGACTAACAATAAACCACATCAGTTTGGATTGGCAAAGATTACAAACAAGCTTGTAGGAAGCCAATGTTACAGAAGCAAGCTTAAAGGGCGATGTGAGAACATGAAAAATTACTTTGGCTGCACTTAAGAGCAAACTTCCCTGGAGGTATCTATTTCTCCATACTTCATATATCATATACGAGTGTAGTACACAGAGAAAACTGCTTAGAGCTTACTCTTCCTAAACTGTCCTTCACAACCACAAACAAAAATGTACTCGGGGAACTACTAAGACACAACATAGCAAGTTATAACAAGCAAGAAACAGGTGCTTGAAATGTGTAGAGTGCACCAATTACACCTTAGATTTCAAAGTGTCCTCAAAGTGTTCTTTAAAACAAAACTACCACTAGCAAGCAAGAGATGCAGTACTAGTTGCTCAAAGAATAATTGAAGAACAGTTGTTCCCTCATCATTTGAAAAGCCTCTGAAGCTCAAAGTTCTTAAGTTGCAAAGTGAGAAAAATCTCTGTTTTCAACATCAAAGTCTTTATACTTGCTCAGAAGTAAGCTTCTCAAGATCTCCTTGACAAAAATACAGACTTTTTTGAAACAGAGAACTGGAAGTATTGCTTTATGAAACTAGGAAAAAAGCAATGAATTGCAATGAATGTATAAAACTCTTGACTAAAGAAAAACCTAAGAATTACTTAAAAGAAAGTTGATTGCAGCCACGTCAAAATCTGTCATATAAATGCTCTGATTTAGCAAAGCAGTATGTCTGAGTGACATCAGGCTGTACATTTGCGGCCCCTTGCAGATGGCTCGGTGTAATTTCACACCCATTACCTCCTCTCCACAATACATAGCACAATCACATGACAGTAAAATCCTCTCAAACCAACTCCTATGGGGACTTCTAGAAGCCGTTAGTGGCCTGGCCATTATGGGAATTCTCAGAAGAGCTATTTCAGCAGCGTCCAAATGACTGTGTTAAATGGAGTATTAGGCTCTGAAAATATGATTAACCAATTGTAATTGCTTTTCTTCTGTGACTTCAAAACAGGCGTACAATGCACGGTTTCGACTCTTCTCTGTTGCTGTGCTCCTCTTCGTTATGAAGGAGTCATGAAAGCAATGCTAGACATTCTCACAAATAAACATAACATGCATTCACTGTCCAAAGAAAACCAAGATGGTGAGCGACAGTGAGCGACAGCACCTGTGCTTTCAAAAACCATCATCTCTCCCTGCATCGATGCACTTGCTCTCCCAGCTTGCCTCTCTCCGCTATCCGGCTTGTTGTAAAACAGCAGAAACGCACAAATGAGTCCCTACACAAGCATGTTGTGCAGCAGATCAGCCATGTACAACAGTGCTCTGTACAAGAACAAATCATGTTTGTAATCACAGTACACCGACTCCACCAGTCACCAGGGAATATCTGTTCAGGCAAATGAGACTCCAATACAAACATATGCACACACACACGCCAACATTGATAGCTACCATCAAGCACAAGCTGTATGCATGGAATCATAAATATTAAAGCGTTGGTTTTGCATTTTCTTGGCATTTTCCAACTCGGAGATAAATCAAAAAGCCTGATAGGAGCTGCCATGTACATTGCAATGCTGCCTGGGATGCATCTGCCTAGGGAGGCCAGCTTTCATATCTGAACACATGCAGGCGTGAGAGGAAGTTCAACCCCCAGCGGAGTTGAAGGCGACGGATGAGGGGAGGGATAGGGAGAGGCAAACAAGAATGGAGGGTGTTGTTGCAGGTGGGAAAAGGGAAATCCCAATGACAAAACTTAGCAGTGCTGTCGCCGTTACGTCATCAGGTGTGTGCTTGTGATGTAAAGACACTATGATCTCTTTTTGAGGTGATCAAATGTTCTAATAAACATTAAAGGCAAGAATATGTCTCTGGCAGTGTGTAGGCCAAGGCCTGCATATCATTAACAAAAGGCCTTTTCTCTGTGGGCAGGCTCCACTTTAAGTTCCCTTGCCTGTTGTGACAATGCCCATAGGGGGAGAGCAGATGTCCGTTGCCAGCAGCACATCTGCATACAGCCTCAATCCCCACCCCTCCACTGGCCAGACAATGGAGCCGCCCTCCTCCCCTTCCACTTGAATCTTTCTTCCACTGGGGCATCCAAGTGCAGTAAAAAATAACAAAACAAAAAAAGAAAGGGGGAGAATAGAGACTCAATGCGGGTCGAAACTGTGAAATAAAAAGGAATTATCCTCCTATTTAAAGTAATATTCAGAGGTTCATATGGATGCCTGATGGTGCACTAATTAATCACTCATTAATTAGTATAGGCCATGAAGCCAAGTGCAGTTCAAGTGAATTTGTTTGGTATGCAATGCATGCTAGCAAGAAATGTTGCACAACACACTAGTGCCAAACTTTTGATCAAACTCTTGAAGTCTATATGTCTTCAAATGTATCTTGCAAAACAATATTGTGCAAAAAGACATTCTCTCAGTGGAGCTTTAATACATTCACAACACTACCTTGTAGCTGCACAGCTCATTAGCAACTTAATAAAGCCTATTCCCACATCACTATGAAGTGTATCGGATAATGTCTACTCCTTCTCTTGTCCCTCCTTGCTGATGGCGCAAGGAAACACATGGACAGCGACTCGAGTATAGCTTTCAAAACTATACCCCGGTGGAGCACACACTGACATTTGTACACCACCTTTTGCAATAATCTTGAATCCTACCTCGACTGGATGTTTACTGAGAGTTCAAACGTCGGCTTTTGGGGCTCCAGAAATAGCATCGCAGGCTACGCATTTCAAATCCGCTTGTTATCTCGGATTTAGATAATGATCCACCTTTAGATGACATAAAAACTTAATCCTGAACGCAACGGGACAATCTCCGGCGCTGGGAAACGGTGCCTGCTGTCGGTTTTACGGGGGGAAGTGGCGTCGGATCTCGGTGTGCCTGGTTATCCTGCTGTTTACTTCTACGGTTCATAAACACTCCTATTCTTTTCCTCCTGCCAGAATTGAGAGGTGTGTATCAGTTTGCTTTTCCTTTTTTTCTCTCGCTTTTTGAGTGAGGCGGAGCCTTTGCCCACTTCTCCCTCACACACATACATACACACACACACACACACACACACACACGCCACCCACACGCACACACATTACTTTGATGGAGATGGGACAGTGGGAAATTGCGAGAAAGGCGATTTGTGATCTGTCAAAAATGACTAGATTGTTGCTATTTTGTTGTTTTTTCTGTTAATTTCACATGTTGACCACTCGAATGGAATTGTGTGCTTCTCAAAACCTTATTTAACCAACACTTTAAAAGGATTAAGATTGTAGCCTACTTACCTACACTATGTTATTGGGTCCTATAATCAACGCGATTTGTGAGCTCATGTTTTTTTTTTGTAAGGACCAGCAGCGTTGTGTAAATTTGTGCTAACTTCTAAATTACTGAATTGGGCTGAACCTTCAAACCAGGAGGCGTGTCTTTGGCCAGTTACAGTTACATGTCAAGTTGCCTCAAAACTCCTGAAATAACCCCTCCATCAAAAAGCAGTAAATAGGCTAGGCTGCCTCAGCTAACACTAAACACTCAAGCATCACGTGTGCAATGTAACACACTTTTTTATTTAGTTTTGTTGGCCAAGCAATATATATATATATATATAAACTGATGCCTCGTCACAGTAGTTATAAGACTGTCGGCTTACAATATTAGTGTTTCTGAGTCAGCTGTTTCTAGTAGGTTAAGGGAGAAATGTTGCTAGCTCAAATGTAGCTAGCTAAGTTAACACTACTTAGGCTACGCTATTTGGTCATTTAGCTAGCATTATTAGCATAGCGTTCTTCAATTTCACGTATATTGTGTACTTTTTAAAAATGTTTAATACAATATATAAACAACATTTTGTATCAAGTGTCTTATCGTGTAAGGACCAGATGTAATATAACTACTCTCCACGTAAACTGGTCATAAAGCAAGCTAACGTTAATTTGGTCAGTTGGCAGTGGCACAGTTTGTTAAAAACTATTAATGTGAGGGAAAACTTCTTAGCTAAGTAGAGGTGCACTCCATTTTAACATTGTGATATTTTAATCAATCTTAACACGTGTTTAAATGTGGCTTTTGTGCTTTCCCTTCTTCTTCTTGCTGAAAAAAATAGCTAAACCATCTAGGCCTATGGGGGAAATAACATTTCACATTTAAAGTTACATAGCCTACCCCTTTTATCTTACAGACAATTTCCCTATTTCCCAACTTAATTTAATTTGACAAGATTGATGCTGATACTGTTACTGTGAAAGAGACTTGCGAACGTATTCAAACCCCTCAGGGATATAATATTTACATGTAGTTAACTGAATAAATAAGATGTGAAAAATAACCAACAGTTTTATTTACAAACTTTCAATTCAGACAGACAGAAATACAGACCCCCACAAATCTGTTAGATTTGGTGCTCAACTACATGTTTACTCAGTTCATTCTTTCTCTTCGTGCCACAGGTGCTGATCGCAGCATCTGCAGCTGTGCCTTGATGTCATGCTTAAAACATGCAATCTGTAACCTCCCTATTTTTTTTTTTAGCTCTAGTCTCTGCAGTAGAATAATTGTGAACCCTACATTTATTCACACAGCAGTTGTTGCCATGTATAACACGGTACAGATGGCATAGTTGGATTTCCTGGTCACTTCGGTCTCTGCATACATTTCCAACACTTCCAGCAAAGCTTTGAGTAGAGCTTTCAACTAAGACAAAGGAAATAACCGTTAGCAATGGATCGTACCTTCTATTCTGAATCTTGTGTACCATGTGCCCTCTGTGTGTGGTCTGAGGCCTGGGGGCTGTTGGCCCTGTCCTGAGTGCATCTATCCCTGTGGTCATTTAGTCTCCAACACAATGTAACTACTGGGCACCATCCCAAACACTCCAAAGACCAACACCAGCCGACGGGGGACACCAACTGAAGCATATGTTTGCAATGGGAGCAGTGGGGATGGAAGAGACAGAGACAGACTAAAAAGTTTGAACCCCTGCCGTTAGGTATAATCTCCAAGTCAAACTTTCGATTGAAATGAATGCACCCTTTTCTCCCAAATAAATAAAGCAGCAAATTCAAATCACTTTTAAACTCTCTTAAATATAAAGATTACTGAGCAAGAAAATTGTCCTGTATATTATTCAATGTTGTAAAATTACACAATTGATTTAGTATATGTTTGTTTCCTAAACTCATTAGCCATGCATATGTCCCCCCCTTTCTTTCAATTTGAATGAGAGTCCTTTATTGTTACAGCTTTAATCCTGTGTTTGTTCATTATAAACGTAACCTCTATAAGTAATTTAGTAAATCACCTTCCTATACTTTATTTGTCTCTGCACATTTCAAATATAAACGATGTTATGTAACTCAAACAATACTTCCCTTTTTTATTTTCATTATAGTCCAGTCAATCTATTTGTACTTAATCAATACAGCCTGGAAAACATTCAAATGTGCACCACATTAGGGTTTGATATTATGATTTTCCTTTGTTTATAGTTGTTAGAGGATGATAGTGAACACACACACGCACACACACCTCTAATCTCTTCACTGTACACTGGGTATTTGAGAGGATCAGTAGTGTGTGAATGCATATTTCTGCAGAGAGACATTATTTCTTCCCTCAATTCCTCCTGGCAGAGATCTGAGTGTTTGACCTTTTTAAAATGCAAAGCGATTCTTCTACTCCAGAGAGTGAACGGGAGGCTCATGATTGCGCTACTAAATTTGAGAGACTTAATGCAGTAACTCACAGAAAAGGAGAGCTGTTCTGCAACTGCTGGAGTCTTGACTTGGTTACGGGGATACAATAACACCTCCAAGGGTTATGTTAATCTTTAAAGACGGGTTAAATTATGCCGCTCCACTCTTTACCTCATTTGATGGAATATTTCACTGCAACCTTGAATCAGTCTCCCATGCTTAAATCACCTTGTTGCATTGGATTTCCTTATGCGTATAGCACTCTTTTGCTTTAAGTCTTTAAAATCAAACACACTGTAAAGATGTATTAATTCGGTCCAATCATTTATCAATTTGTTAACTACCAAATAATCTTTTCAATGTCATTTTAAATAACGTTGTCAATGTGGAAAACCTGACTATCTCTGCAGTGGCTTCCCTTGTGATTTTAGATAAACATCTCACATCTTTTCACATGTTTCCTTCTTCTTGCAAAAGGGAAGTGCAGCTAATTTAGCATCAACATCACTACCCGAAACACTTGTGATTACCAATAGACTAAAGTGGAGATCATGTTAAATTGAGAATGTAACAACTTTTGACACCCACTACATTGTAATGGGAATCTCACAGGAGTTACATTTACAATTGATAATGATGTCAAATTGTTAAGAGTGTGCCATTGTACTGCACGTACCTCCTCCACCAAGTGTGTATAGAGTGAAGCAGCATACTATCGTTTAACATTGCTGTTAAGATTATATTATATCATTATTCAAACAAAGCCACACAGTACCAGTTTGTCCGCACTAACATGTAATTATATTCCACCACATAAAGGCCTCTGACAGAGCCTTTTAGAAAACAGGGATGCCGTCATTGGCTCATATGTATCTTACAAAATGCAAATTAAGAAGATACACCCCTTTGACTGGAGAAAAAGTGTGAAAACAGTTCATTAGACTTGTTGTGAGGTCTATGGATGTCTTTGTTTTCTCCCTTAGGAAAAAAACTGTGAATATGTATATGAGTCGAGATGCTGACTATATAAACTGTAAACAGGGTTTGTAATCGAGCTCAGAGCAGGAGGTTCTATAGCCATGAAAACAACAGCAGTCTCTATACTGCAAGCACAGAAAATATCTACTGAAGGAAACAGAATTCAAGCTTGTCTCCCACAATTAGAAGCCCCTTTCAAATGTAATTAACTTCATTTGTTGATACATTTTTCATCCACCTCTTTTTAGTAAAGTGTGGGAGACAGTGTAAAGAAGCAGAATATGTGGGGCCTGTGGGTCCAGCTCCTGATCTGCAAATTGGAATAGATGTATCTATTTAACTTAATACGATTACAATGATGCTGAGGTTATGAAAGAGCAGATGAAACTAAGAGGTGGAGCTTCTTATAGTGATGAAATACTTGGTAATATTTAAGAAATGTGGCAAGCCAAAGTGAACGACTGTTTAAGCTAAGAAGTGTGTTTCAGAGCGGAGCCATTCTTGTTGCCTTAAGGTTGCCACTGCATTGTTCGTGCAAGAATAAAACAAAAGATCAGGAATCCATAATACTGATTCTGCCTTAAAAAGCTTGAACAAATAGCTAATTTAACATAGGACATAATAGAAACCAATGTTTAATTGTCATTCTTATTAAACACAAGTGTGCTGCTAAATCATTGCTACAACAGCAATGCTTACAAATGGACACAGTCTTGAATACAATTTTCCATATGTACTTAACTATTCATGATCATTTCATCCATCCTTTCATAGACTATATTTTCTTTCTTGCGGGTTAGGTATTTGAACTGACTGCTGCTTGTAGGTCTTTGTATACAACCAGCCTAATGTAATTATACTCACCACCTACACACAAATTAGCATGCAAACTGTGTCGGAGGTTTAAAAATTACATGGAGGAATGTGATTTAGTACAAGAAGAGGTCTGATCTTTGAAGCAGTATTTCTGCTGCGCTGCTCGATGCCACAATGTCAGGTCAGCAGACCTCACTGCTTCAACATGGGAAGCAGGACTACAGCTAACAAGCTCCAAAGTACTCAATTTAAACACACATGTACAGTGCAAAGACACACAAACACACACCCACTGAGCTTCGTAACTGGGGAGCTCTTATCTCCACTGAACAAACTCTTCGAGTGATGGGAATGTTCTCAGGATGTTATCTTGTCCTCTGTGGAAATGAGATAGCCAGCCACCTTTATCACCACCCTCAGACTCTGGAGGGCCCCTGACCATTACTGCACAAGGAGCACTAGGCTGCCAGGGGACAGAAACCAACTGAAAAAAAGAGACTGCCAGGAAATTATAAGTACGGCAAGTGGAATGACTGACAGCAGATTGGAAGGGGTTTCACGCTTAGATAGTCCTAACCCAAATCAAAGCTATGTCTTGAGGGCCTTTTTGGACTTTGCAGTTGTTATTTGCAGATGATGTGAACAAGATGAGACATAAGAGAAAGAGTCATACTGTGAGCCTTATTACAAATAATATAAAATAAATGAGAGAGAACAAATTATCAAAAGAATCGGGGAAGCTAGACATTAGTTATAATTGGCACAAGAATAAACAGAAACATATATATCAGTGAAATATGAAATTTAATTGAAACATCTCCATGGCAACTCTCTTTTCAAGTCACATCTTTAATGAATGGGTAATGGACAAAATGCACAACGCACAACTTCAGATTAACGTCAGAACAGATGCCAAAAGAAGTCAATTTTGTTGGAGAAAAGGTGGTTTTGCAGTGCGCACAACAGAGTATGTCAAAATAGAACAGCAGCCTTTTTTTGACACACATACACACAAACGTACGTACGTGTTCCCTCTGTTGCTGTCATTTTGACTGTGTGGCAAATCCACCTCTTGTTTTCAAAGCTTTTTTTTCTCTAACAGGTGCAAAACCTCTCAACTCAACACATCAAAGAGACACATGCACCTGTGAATAAATCACAGTGAATGGTAAGAATCCAGACTAGGGCATCCTAACACCAAAGAGGTAGGATTCAAAGTGTCTGATTTAATATTCATGAAGTGCAGGGCTTTGGTGGTTGAATGCTTGTTTACTGAGATGTGTCTTTTGTCCTTGGGAGAAGGTTTGATATTCCACCGAGCAGCTGTATTTACATATACTTGCTGTTTCTTCTTTACATGATACGAAGACACACATCTCGCCTGACATGCCACATACGTTACACAATACCACATACCGGCTATGATTGACACGCAATTTCAGTGTGCTCTCCTCTCCCCTGTGAAGTATTAAAAGCTTTACTGCTGTTCTGACAGAGCTAATGAGAGTTTCTGATTGTGAAGTGTTGGTGGCTTCTGTGCGGAGGAGTTGTTCAAGTTGAGGCAGGTCCAAAGCAAAGTCTGCAAACTGCACCCACAGGGACAGAAGTGGCAGACAACCAGTCAAAACCAGAAACAACCAACTGTCAAACACTAAAGCAGAAATGTTTTTCATTAATTAACATTTCTTTCACTCCCCAAGACCACTGTGCCTTTTTTTTTTTAAAGATGAATGTAGGTTTGATTTGACCAACAGAAACACTTAACAGATATATACTATAGGTTTCTGTTTCAGTAACATAGCAAATATAGGGTTAACATAGAGCCAGTAACCCTTTTTCTTCATCTTTGTATCCCTTTTTTCTGTTTTATCAAAGGTGGTCATTACAAACCCATGCCCTGCAGCCTAGTGTCAGTCATGCACCTGCATCAAGGACTCTGTTTTTGGGCAGCAACGTGTGAAGATAATCTCAAAGTGAAATCAGAAGGGGCAGCAGTTTCCAGATGGATGACTCACAGCTTTCTTCTCTTGCTATATAAAAACTGTGGGCTGTAATGTCACTTTTTCTAAGTGAAACAAACTCCTACAAGGTCGGGGATGTATGTGGAACAACTAATTACTAGAGCTGAAAGAAAGCATGTGAGAAAACCCCATCTCCCCCGTGGGTATATTAAAGAAAGAAAGCAGCTGGTCAGAATACTCTGGAGAAAACATCAGCAATTGAAGAAAGTGGTCGGGGATACTCTTCACTTTAAGTGCTTTTCTCTAAGCAGTCTGTTATTCTCCCACGCTTTCTGCTCTCTTGCAGTAGTGGCATACACACATATCCATCTTTTTCATCCCCAAGGGTGAAACAAAGCCATGCATTACGACTCAAACGAAGCTGCTCAATTTATTTAAAATGCAATAATTCAATGTCTTTATGTTGATATGCCTTAAAATAAGAATAGCTCGAATTATTTTGTACTCACCATATACTCCAAATCATGCACATTACACAGGGTTTTTGGTTGTTACATTTCTCACACAGTTTGGCTGTTAAACAAATCGATAGGTCTGTAGGACATCAGAGAAGTCATGCAGACCTGCTGGCATCTGCTGGTCAAACTGTGAACTACCAGCACTCTTCACAGGGCTATAGTTCAGACTATAGTACTCTGAAATCAAGACTATGACATACCATGTGTATTAAAATATTAGCAAGAATATCAAGTTGCACTGAGGATTCATTGTTATAACATCAAGTGTGCTTCTATTTGCTCTGTCTGCAATACAGCCTGCTCACTACTAAGAGAAAATGCTATCTGATGCTTCTGATTCAGTTCTTTATTTGACAGCTGGACCCTCTTGAAAGTCCCCCTCACCCTCTCTATGATCTAGTGTCCTACACGTTGGGGCCTGGATGGTGTTGAGCTGCCAGCACGTGCAGGGTCTCCGAGACATTCAAGTCGTGTCGTCCAAACCACATGACATCCTCCAGAGCTGCCTCTGCAGCTTTCTGCTTGTGGTTGTGGGGGAACCGCCTGGTGCTGCTGGGAACATTAACAGCCTGCTTCACCGTGAAGTCAGTGTGTTGGACCGACATGTTCCCCTCGGTTTCTTCAGAGCTGCTGTAAGCTCCGTCGTGGGACAGGCAGAAATGGGAGCGTTGCTGTCTGGGATCATTAAGACTCTTCCTGAGTCCTACACCCTGAGGGATATCAACATGATACAGAAAAGAGGTGTCCTTTTTTAAAAGGTGCAACGTGGGGACGGATGTGAACATTTTATAATGGCTGGAATCTGTCTTTGTACTTACATTACTGAAGACAGAGATGTTGTCTTTTAAGGCATTCATGTTGTCATGGCTGGAGAAAGGATACTCTCTGGATTTCTATAAAGAAACGCAAATTGGAAAAATGTGAAGACACAAGTAATACAAGTGAAGACACATGTCTAAAGGGATAAAACGAGGAGGCAGATTTGCTTTTATATGAAGTGCAATGTTATTTTATCTTTCAAAGCCCTGGGCCATATACGCTGTGAAAAAACACTATACTATCCTTTGTGTAAACACACCTGCTGAGATTTCCATTTAGGAAAGCGCTCCAAGTTCAAAGCCTCAGGCAGTGCTGATTTAACCTGAGTCAGCATGATCCCAGTGCTCGTACAAGCCTCACGACTCCTTTTCTCTTTTTCTGGTAAAACTTCATGAGCAAACTGAGAAGAAAATGGAAAGAAAAGCTTGTTACAAAACAAAGCAATACGATGTTATTATTTGTAATGATCTGATTTTGAAATTAAGGATTTCTTACCCATTTGCCACCATTACTCATTGAAGAACATCGCATTGCACCGTTCTCCATTTTAATATTTAGAGAGTGCACTGAATAGTTTCAACAATACAGCACTATCGCTGTCCAACTTAACTAGTGCAAACACACTGGTGACTATGGAAACGAAATGTGATCTCAATTTGCCATGGAGACGTGGAACTGGAATTCTGTCAGCAAAGGAAGAAACAATAGAGGCTGTTTTGTTTAATATTAAATTATAGCAAATTAAGTCATTATATGAACAATGTGGGATTTTCCTTGTCTTTTTTTGTAAATGTGGAAAAATTACCAAATGTGTTGTTAAGGAGCTCTGCAGTTAAGCAACTGAGGACACATTTGAAGCCAAAATGGCATGTTTTTCTTTTTAAATGACAAGGATAACACAATTGTTTCTATTTTAAAATGACCAAGCGAACAAAATTAACATATACGTGACTTTATTTTTTACAACTCTGGATTTACAAAAACAACAATTCTAAATAATATAAAATAACGTTTATTCTGGGATTTTTTTAATAAGAAATGTTAATTTCTCAAAGTAATTTTTAAAAAAAGTACAATTTAAAGATCCCAGATTATTCAATTTCTTTCATACAATACACTTTTGGACCTAGGAAATTAAAATGGTTCACATGATTTTGTTTGAAATTAACATATGTAAAAGTTAAAATAGGCCCACAGTGACTGACACTAAGCCCCGACTGTAGAACACCAGACCTTGATTTGAATGGTGTGAACTAAACTAGCATAGTTTCAGTGTGGTTTATCACCTGAAATGGTACAACTGGAGGGATTTTTTTAATCCTTTAAGTCTCAATGAGGTAAAATTCCATATCTGATACACTGGGAAAGAGGGATTGTAAAACAAGGAAAAACTATGTAAAACTAGGCAATTTAGCAAGTATTAATCCAACAATATATTTACAGAATATGGTGGACTTCTAAATATATTTTAGTCAAATAAAACAGTTAAGAAAGCAAAACTTCTTGAGTTATTCTTTTTGGCATTACATAATAGGAACATTATCTTTCAACTGCAAGCAAATGTAGAATAGGGAAATTCACATTGAGGTAATCGTGCTGAGAACTGTCATTGCCAGGATACAGAGGGAATATTCAACTAGGGTCACAGTTTAGACATGGTTGTGTTCTGAGTGTCCCTGGTATGCATTATTAATCCCTGAGGACAAGATGAAAAACAGGTTGAATTACCTGAGGATACCATCTAGGGTCAGAAAACTGTCAAGTTCTTCAAAGTAAGGTAGGCACCAATATCGATACCAAACCTTATATTTATTTATAGGCCTAAAAGGAATAACATATAAGTATATCTAGTCTTAACATACTGCAATAAGCATGTACTCTCTCCCACAGTTAGTACAATTTCAGAGAAAGTAGCAGGAATGTGACAAAAATGAGTCCCAACATCAAAATGTAGCAACAGGCCAGTTATCAACAATCATGTTTAAGCACACATATACATCAAAATGGCTGCCTCCTCAGGTGACATAGTCTGGTCCAGTACTTTCATAAAGATTATGATACATTCAAGGTACGGGATGCACGCATGCTAGCCTGTCTCCTACAATATAATGTTGGGAATTGCATATTCAGTTACGTTTTGAGGAAAACATATCAACAATTTTCTGTGTGCAAAACCTTCATTTGTTTGACCCATTCACCAGGACCTTGTCTTCTGCAGACTATGTATAATGACTCAAAAACAAACAATCCTAGAGATGTGTTTCCAGCTAAAAGTAATTGACAGATATGGGGATATCATTTTCAGGAGAACAAGCAACTATACTGTATGTGGATATGGGGCACTGAAAGGTCACTCGAGTGATTGGCTTCTGGTAATATTCTCTAAAAGCCCACTGAGTTATTTGATGAGACTAAATGAGCCCTCATCAGTGCCATTAGATCTTTGTTGATTACGATAACATTGTCTTGACCCCATCAACTAGACATCCATAATTAGGAAGGTCATTGGGATGCTCTTGATGAAAGCGCTCTTTAATTAAGAGGCAGCCATTTGTTTGCACCTACTGCATTATGCATTTTTATTTTTGAAGAGATCGTTGATTCTTACTCTGAATCACTGATGTAGGCATTTCTGCTTCACCACACCAAGAGCTCAACACAATGGGAACAAACTCTTTTGCCCTTGCATTATGGAGGTGCTTCTTCAGCTGTTTGGCAAAACGTTGCCACCTAATAAAAAGAAGTAATCAGTAACAACTTAGAATCTCCAAAACTGTAGTCATATGAAAGTCTGTAAATTCCTACACTCTCTTACCTTTCCTGTGCAGCGTTGTACTTATTCAACCTGCCTGCCTCCTCCCTCTTCTCCTCCATCCAGCGCTGTAAGAGTTCTTCTTTCTCTCTGCAGGCCTGTTCCAAAGCCTGATTTATTCCTTTCTGCTCCGTCCGCAGGGCTGCCAACTCTTTGGATTGACACTCGACGGTGTACTCAAATTCTGATAGAGTCGCCTTCATGGTGTTACTCCCTTTAGCCAGAGAAAGGGCCTCTTGGCGAAAGTGGGACACACTGAAACAGATAAGACATAAAACGATGATTTACTGTAACTTTAATTACCTCATCAGGGTACTGTTAATTCAAACACTTAGATTTTAGATTGTAAGTCACAAGTTCACCCGCTAATAATAAAGAACACCATGTGGATTAAGATAGATTTATGCTTATTCATCAAACTGTTTCTGCTTATGATATATTAACAGCTGATTGTCAAATACAGCACTAGAACACGAGGTGATTATGCAATACTTTATAAAGTCATGCTGTTCCTTCAGTGTGCTAAAAGTAACATATTACCACTCTTCTATTGAATGTGGGATGTAGATGATTGGATTTATTTTTTGACTATCCATGTTATAAATGTATTATCTTGTATTAGTCTGTCCATACTGGGAGAGGGATCCCTTCTCTGTTGCTCTCCCCGAGGTTTCCTCCATTTTTTGTGGGGAGCTTTACAGTTTGCACAGAATACGAAACCCTCTGTCTTTAGACCCTCACATCGGACAAGTTCAACTTGTTACCTCAAGTTGAACTTGTCCGATGTGAGGGTCTAAAGACAGAGGGTTTCGTATTCTGTGCAAACTGTAAAGCTCCCTGAGATCAATTTTACATTTTGGATATTGGGCTCTATAAATAAACTTTGATTGATTGATTGAATATATGGATCACAACATATTCTTAATTCAGCATTTCTTCAACTTACCCCATGACGTCTCACAGGTTGATAGGTATTGCAAAAGTAATTAATTTCATTATTGGGTATTGAATATTATGGAAAATCAAGGCTGTTGTCACTTAAGAAAATGATATGGAAAAATGCAATGAATTCCCCAAACCACTTTCATACTGGGCTTTAAGGTGACCCAACAAACTGCACCCAAGGATTATTTGTCTCTAAGTATTATGCTCAGTTTTATTAACAGGGAGTTTACACTGATGTCTGTTGTTTTAAACTTGAAATTACCGTGACTGCCAGTACTGCAGTTCAGCCTCTTTCAGATACAGGACTGTGGTCAGGTCAGAGACGGTCTGAGAGAGCTGTGAGGAAAAGAAGCAACAACAAAAAAATGATGTTATTGTCATTTTAAAAGTTAAAAGGTAAGGCAATAGTATATTTTCTGATTAGTACTGTAGGTGCTTGTCTGAGGCTTAGAACACATTCTTGTGCAACTGCTTATTGAACAGATTTTGGGGGCTGATAATAATATGTTAGTCCTTGGATTTCTCCTCATTGAACCTACCTTTTCTGCCAGGTGTTCACTCTCCCTCAGTTGGAGTTGAAGGAGTCTGGTGTCTTTCCCAACTTCACATCCACCTCGGTCTAAACTGCAAAGACAAACCGGTGTGAAGAAATATATAAACAAATACATAACAAACAAGCTTTGGGTATCCAAATCGCCAAAATGGAGAAATGTAAATGGAGTTCAATGCTACATTTCTAACCTCTTAGATTGAACATCATCCAAACATGTTTTGCGAAATTCAAACCGTTCCTCCATCCGAGACACTGAAAGACAGAACACACATGTCCTCAGGCTAAGACACTGGGAACATACTGCAAAAGCTAATAGAAGACATATTAAACTCACAGCTCGTGAACACACCGATGAAAGGCAGCTTCTCAGTTTGGTCTCTCTGTTGCAGTTCACCACGCACGTGATTCTTCCAGCTTCTCATTGTGATTGAAACGAATTTGTCAATCCCCAAAATGTCAACAGGTTTAATACGTTTTTCTATCCCACTTTATTTTGGTCAAAGACGATATTATTGTCAAAACGTAGCCGAAAACACAGGAATGAACTGCCTGAAAAAAGGCACAGCTCCTCCCTGTTCAGTCAGCTGCTTCACACCCCCCGGCTATAACCTGTGACCTGCAGGGACCATGTCTCCTGCATACACTTTATCAAAACACGTTACAATACTCTAATCTTATATGCATGATCCCATACATATAACAGGAGTAGGCTATTTGTGTAAGTTATTTGAGATAAAATCACATTACGCTATGAATATTTGGACGTTTAATATTTTACTTTTTGAATGTAACTATAATGAATGTATATATATTTAGAATCATTATAATAACAGTAATACAACAATAATAATAATAATAAATTATTTATATTTTCCCAAATATTTTTTTATTTTTAAATAATAATTTACAAAACCTAGATTTTAAATGGCACAATACAATCGTTTTTGATACCATTTGGCTAAAAGACATGACATAATAACACAAAACACGGGACCGATTAAAAATAAATTGAAACCCTTTAGTGTTTAATAGATTTTCAGAATAAAGCACAACAGAATGTGCTCAACTCTTCTAGAAAGACGCTCTGAAAGCACTTCCGGTTCATTTCTTTTTAAACATGTCGCATTTACTTGAGTATTTTCCGTAAAATAAGGATATAATCTACTTTTGAACCTCAGAAAATATCCTACTTAAAAAACGAAAACATTTTGATGGTCGATATAAGAAATAAGATGTGTTTTGTAGTTTGTCTCTTGGTCAAACCGGAAGTTGTTGCTGCTCGCATTAACGTGTGCTCTGACAACAACAGACAGACTGTCCGGCTGAAATAGG